CATCCTCTCTTTAACTTCAGCTTTTTCACAGATGGCATCAAGTTACCATCCAACATTTGCTGAAATTTGATTGAATCCATTTTTCCTTCTACTCATGAGATGTTCCCTGTGCCACTGGCTGCAACACAACCCCAAAGCATGATTGATCCAACCCCATGCTTAACAGTTGGACAGAGGTTCTTTTCATTAAATTCTGTGCCCCTTCTTCTCCAAACGTACCTTTGCTCATTCCGGCCAAAAAGTTCAATTCATCGGTCCACAGAACTTGTTTCCAAAATGCATCAGGCTTGTCTATATGTTCATTTGCAAAGTTCAAACAATGATTTTTGTGGTGAGGACGTAGGTGAGGTTTTCTTCTGATGACTCTTCCATGAAGACCATATTTGTACAAGTATCTCTTTATAGTGGAATAGTGTACCACAACTCCAGTGTCTGCCAGATCTTTCTGGAGGGATCGTGCAGTCAAACGTGGGTTTTGAATTGTTTTTCTCACAATCCTGTGAGCTGTTCTGTCTGATATTTTTCTTGGTCTTCGAGATCTTGCTTTAACCTCCACTGTTCCTGATGACTGCCATTTCTTAATTACATTCCGAACAGAGGATATTGACACCTGAAAACGCTTTGCTATCTTCTTATAGCCTTCTCCAGCTTTGTCAGCGTCAACTATTTTCAGTTTCAGTTTTCTAGACAACTGCTTAGAAGAACCCATGGTGCTGATTGTTGGGGCAAGGTCAGATGAGTCTGGGCATTTAAAACCTTTGAGCTTGACATCACCTGGTCTTCCTAGACGATGATTGAGAACAAACCATGACACTGGCAGGTCTCAGCTTTGCAAAGGGGGCAGTGCATGCTATAAATTCTGCAGGGTGCCCAAACTTTTGCAGACGCCATTTTTTTGTTTTCTGTTATTTTGAAAGTGTAAATGATGGAAATAAAATCTAACTTTTGTTGACATATTATAAGAATGTCTAATCTGTAATTTGATGCCTTTTGGAGATTTTTCCATCTTTCCTTGGCTTCTTTATGCACATTAATACAAAATTTTAGCTGGGGTGCACAAACTTTCGATCCCCACTGTAAATAGTGTTATCTTATGTGTCCATGCACACTACTATAGGCTACTAGCGTTTTTTGAGTTTTGGCATCTAGTAGAATAGAAATTGTTTTTGTAGAATTTTTTTGGAGCATTTTTCCAGCACAAAAAAATTCTAAAAACTGCTAAACGTTGCTAAACACTACTACAATGCTCCTAACTGCTTTTCTTCTAGCTATTTACTACACATGTACTGTAAAAATGCTAATAAAATGCTAACTCTCCTAAATGCTCCTAAACACTTCTATATGCGACTAAAATATGCTATTACCAGCATTTTTTTAGCTTAAAAAAAGTTCTAGTGTGCATGGAGCCTCAGTGTGTATAAGGTTTAGGGAGAATTTAATTTAAAATTAATGAAACTCCTTTTTCAGAGGATGCCTAAAATTTTAGTCTTGAGAAAAGGTGATTTTTTTTCAGTTTATTTAGATTTTTTAACAAATAGTAATTAATTTTTGTTTTCATTTTCTTTTGTATTTTTCTTTATATTTTAAGTGTGGCATTAAAAAGTATAACATTGGAAAAAAGCCTTATTTGCGTTTGCAAATAACTTTGCTTTGTACCAGAATCATAATTTTAGTGTTGTTTTAAACTGGACAAATTATAAAATAAATATATAATATATAATTTATTTACAGTAAACATATTATTTAAAACACTAGTCAAAGTGGAAAACAATATAATAAAAAAAGAAGCTTTGTCCTAAAATAAAATGATGATATGTGTTACTTTGTTATCCTGAGTAATGATATAGTTGCTGCTAAATAAAAACCAGCTCAAACAAAATGTCAAAAATGCTCTGGTCCACAAGGGGTGTACAGGTGCAAGAACTGGTTAAAAACAATCAACTGATTAGATGGCCTGTGTGACCATTTTATATGCTATATTTTTTTCTTTATAAGACTTGAAAATATGTTTCTACTTAATTTGTGAATAATCTGTTTTTCTCTTTGTGAAAGATCTGAGCAAATACAAAAGACTCTTAAAATATGCCGAACACTCTACCCCCTTTCTTGTTTGTTTTGATGACTTTTATATGTGAGAATATATGTACATTGTCCTTTCAATAGACTTTTTATTGAAAAATGTTTGTTTTTAGAAGATACAATTTTAACCACAGTCATGTATACAGGTAGAAGTATGGAATCAATGACTGACAAATTAAATGCGGTCGTGAATAAAACAGTAGAAACGTTGCAAGTGTCAGTATAGTTGGAATGTCAGAAGGTACACTGATCATGTCATAACAATGAAATAATGTGGATAACAGGAGAAAAACATATATACATTTTCAATGTTACTTAATAAGAGTTAATGTTGGTAATTATGCAACGACTTGTTCTGTATTGTACCGGGCAACCACAATCCAAGTATCGTTATATAATATTGCTCCCTGCACGATTGTTGCTCAATGTTGCGTAACCTACTGTATACGTGATGCATTTTTTTTTCTTGCTTAATAAAATATTTGAACAAGAAAAAAAGAACACTCGAAGAATGGCGAATAAACAAGTATATCTGGCCAAGTAGAACTGTGATCTTGTCATCCAAGAATGTTACATTGTTTCCAGACAAAATAGGATGGAACTGAATGGGTTCAAAACTTACTGTTTTTCATTTCCACAGTTGTCCCGAAAATTTCTCCTGTTTACCCCCCCTGGTCACATCAAGCCCGATTTTGAAATCGTCCAACTTACAGTGAAATTGCATGATTTCAAAGTCGAGTGAGATGCCGATTCCAGGTGCGATTTGCAAGACATCTGATGCAGATGTCTATGCAAATTGCACCAAAAGTAGTACATGTACTACTTTAGAAATCGGTGCGGTTCTGACCAAATCAGAACCTCATTGATTTGACTGCTGTAATTGTGGACAATAGGGTGTGACTTAGCATATGATTTTCAAGTCGCATGGCATGCACATCGCATGCCAAATCGCACCCAATGTGACCGGAGTGTAATTGGGGAAAAGTGACAGGTTCGTCAGATTTTTATTGCTGTCTGGATCCTCATGGATGAGATCCATTGAAATTGTGATGAAATGTGACACAAATGTGCTGCTTTTTTTAGTTTGGTTTGGTAAATAAACAGCTTTTTATATAATTAACCACTTGCCCTCCTGAGGATTTACCCCCCTTCCTGACCAGGCAATTTTTTGCGTTACTTTGACTGACAATTGCATAGTCTAGCAATGCTGCATCCAAATTAAATTTACGTCCTTTTTTACCCACGAATTGAGCTGGTATTTGATCGCCTGTGCGGTTTTTATTTTTTGTGCTATAAAAAAAAAAAAGACCGACAATTTTGAGAAAAAAAACAATATTATTGACTTTTTGCTATTAATCGTGTCCAGTAAAACAATTTAAAAAATCAAATTTAGTCATAAATTTAGGCCAAAATGTATTCTGCTACATACTGTAAACCTTTTCTCAAATAAACTCCTATTTCTTAATTTTTTAAATAAAACGTGTCCCAAAAACAACAACCTAATCCCAAATAATAGTCCACACTAATAATGATATCCACAGAAATATTAATGTCCAACATAAAATAAATCTTCAAACATTCTATAAAGTGTCCAATTCAATTCGCCAATCCAGATCCAGAACACCTAAAAAAAATTAAACTAATTATAGTGTATTACCTTCATAAACCACACAATATTAAATTAGTGACACGTGATTCATGCACAAAAATTAAATATTTTCCAGTGTGCACTCCTGCTAACGTGGGGAAAAAAATATATATATACAGTATATTCACACAGCACTCTGTGACACCTCACACTAGTGGGATTATATGCTATTACCCTCTTGAAATCCCAACAAGCATAAACTGACGCGTTTTGTCACTTCCGACTTCTTCTCGAGGGATCGAGAACGCGTCAGGGCGTGACGTCAGACGCTAAACTGGAAGGAGCGGCGTGGCCATTTTGGTTACTGGAATTTCAGCATAAGAACTGCTGGGACAGATTGACGGATTTAATAATCCTTTATGTAAGAGTTTTATTAAAATATTGTTTTATACCTTTATTACTCCACTGATGGTTCTCTTCTTTACCTCTATGAGGAATTGGGGAATTGAAAAGGGCATACCCGCAGAGTGGAAGCAGACAATGAGTATACCCGGAAATGCTGGTTTATGCTGCGAGAGGGTAATTGCCGTGAATCCCACTAGTGTGTGGCATCACTAAATGTTCACCTCACCTGTGATGCGTACTAGAAGTTGACAAACACTATTCACGTCTTGATATGCTTGTTGTGCTTTCAAGAGGGTAACAGCATATAATCCCACTAGTGTGAGGTGTCACAGAGTGTTCACTTTATATTTTGATGTGTTGAAACTCACTTTTGATGTGTTGAATTTCACTGAGTGCTTTTTGAATATATATATTTTTTTTTTTCCCACGTTATTAGGAGTGCACACTAAAAAATATTTAATCTTTGTGCACGAATCACGTGTCACTAATTTAATATTGTGTGGTTTATGAAGGTGATACACTATAATTAGTTTCATTTTTTTTAGGTGTTCTGGATCTGGATTGGCGCATTGAATTGGACACTTTATAGAACGTTTGAAGATTTATTTTATGTTGGACATTAATATTTCTGTGAATATCATTATTAGTGTGGACTATTATTTGGGATTAGGTTGTTGTTTTTGGGACACGTTTTATTTAGAAAATTAAGAAATAGGAGTTTATTTGAGAAAATGTTTACAGTAATTTACTTTCAAGGGTGAAAGTGTGACTTTTCTTGGGGTATTTTGTTGGTGAGAGTTTGTTGAAGATTTAGTATTCTGCTACATGTCTTTGCTAAAATAAATCCCAATACCTGTAAATTAATTGGTTTACATGAAAGTTATAGTGTTTACAAATGACAGTAATAGTAATGACAGCGATCAATGACTAATAGCGGGACTGCGGCATACATTCTGACACTGGGGGAGAACTGACTTGGTGTCACTCACATCCCCAGTGACACCAATACAGTGATCAGTGCTAAAAAAAAGCACTGCCACGGTACTAATGACACTGGGCAGGAAGGGGTTAACATGAGGGGAGATCAAAGGGTTAACTGTGTGCAGAGAGTGTTTTACTAGGGGGCGGTGTGTTGGTGCTTCACTGTAATCACACTGTTTTGCATGGCTGTGCTGTGCACAACCATCCACAGAGCAGTGTGCCCGAGCTGACAGGGAGGAAGACTGTTAGTAAAAAAAAAACAGTCCTCCTCCCTGTCGAAGATCCTCATTAATCACTGGGCAGGGAGGGTAATCACTGGGGACCTGGTGATTAACAGCCGCAAACGGCAGCACGGCACGCACCCCCCTACCTGGAAATGCAAAATCATGTATATATATACTTGATTTACGCACCCCTGCCGCCCTGTAGCAGTATATCTGCTATAGGGCAGCGGGAAAGCGGTTAATCTTGCCAAGCATCCTCCTGTCTAAACAAGTCCTTTCTCTACATCCATCTTCCAAAGTCTAACTACAGGTGTGATCAGGCATCTTGTGTAGATTGCTGAGACTGCAACAGACAGCTTATTGTGGAGCTGCGTTCAAATAGTGTCTTTTATATGATGTTTCTTGTATACATAGCAGTGTGTGGATACAAGCCTACTTGGATTCTATCTGTTACACCTAATTTCTTTCTGTTAAAATAGAAGTATAACCAAAGCTTTTATGGCTATACTTCTCCTGTTGATCACAGGAGTGCAGTTTTTTCTACACTCCTGTGACCAGTTTTCAGCCGACAGCAGGCTAAAGCCCACTGTCGGCTGACATAACAGAGCCAGTCCAGGCTCTGAAAAGATCCTGACCATATGGATGTGATCCATCCAGGTGCCTGGACTTGCGAGCCAGTGCAAGACGCTACAATTCCTGCCAGCCCAGTGCTCAAGTGAACGCTGGAGGGGCATAGCAGAGAGCTGGTGACTGACAGTCACAGCTCTCTGCTCAGACCAGAGAGGAGAACTGAGTGATCAGTTTCATTGTTTAATTCACAGGGCAGAACTGGCAAGGGACAGATGCAGCATGGGATCGATGCTGCATCCAGCTAGATGAGAATTATTTAATTTTTTGTAAAGCCCATACTTCTTTTTATTTTTGGTTCACACTATTGCGGGCCGTGCGGCCCATGTTTGCTCAGGCTCATTTGAATGGGCTGTTGTGCTATGTTTCCAGCAAGAAAAAGGTTCATGCAAATTTTTAAAAACACAGCCACAGGGAAACCAGGTAGTCTTTTTGACCATGCATTTTCTCTGCAGTTCCAGCAAACGTGCTTTGGGCTGAGATGTTTGGGGGTGCCATTCAAAATGAAGAGCAGTGCGATTTGGCTGCCAGTGGGATTGCCACCTCATCCCTTTAATACCGAATACATATTAATTACACAGGTTCTGGGGCTGATTAAGATGCTAATTAAACTCGCTTAGTTCCTTATCTGCATTAAATTAGCCTCAGAACCTGTGTAATTAATATGTGTTCGGTTTTAAAGGGGTGAGGTGGCAAACCTAGCTGCTTGTGGTCGCAGGTACGGGAACAGGTGTGATTCCCACTCCTGCAACCAGCCCACAACTGTGAACCTAGCCTTAAGCAGGTTCATAGACAGGTATAAAAATCGAATGAAAATTCTTGTAGATAGATCTTCCAGTTTTCACATCATTAGTGTGCCTGTAGGCAGGTGAAGTCTCTGTTTTGCACTGTAGGTGGCGCTCAGCAAAAGCAGTACTTCAGCTGGAGAGGAAGTCAAGGGAAACCTATTTTCTCTATGATTTCCTTGATCCCTAGACAGCGTTCTGGTTAGCTACACTGCATTCAGGTGACCTTGGTGACCATCTTGGGTCAGCAGAACCTTTTTTAAGTGCCTGATCCCCTGGGTTTGGCACGCTTTCTGGCAAGTGGACAGTTCACCCTTCAGTAAGTGAATGGTGTGAATAGTGGTAGGGAAAGATTCCAGACGAGTAGGGACAGGCTAGGGACACAAATGCAATATAAATGATGTAGCGCTTTTAAACAAATATATAAATGGGTGACCACACAGTGATGAACACACACGTATCAGGTCCTGTGATGGACCATAAATGGTGAGTAATCTCTAAATCTCGGTGACCCCAATATAAAAGTGACCCCCTGGTACCCAATAAGGGACATCAACCAATAATAGTGGATCCCTATATGGGATCAGAGAAAAATCCTCAGTGTGAATAAAGACAATATAAATATGATATAAATGGCAAAATAGTCAATCAGTGTCGCATTCCTCTTGGTCATGCACAAAGGAGGAATGTGGGTGAACAGAAACACCCCGGATGTGATCCCAAAATGGCTGCAATGGCCTCTCACCTCCACCCTGCGACCCTGCAGGGCCACAGAGCAGATATATATATCACCTCTGGATCACCTCAGCAAACAGCACTCCTTAAGGACTGGTAACTTTAAAACGACTTCCCAAGAATCAATATCCACCTTTAAAAGATCTCCTTTCTGGACCGGTAGGTGTGTCAGATGAATGGATCATAGCTCAATTCCCCATAGAACAAGAGAAGAACACATTCTCCATAGTGTAAAACCGCTTTAATTTGATAAAAGTAAGCCAAAATTGCAAACTCACATAGTAAGCTGGTAACAAGGCATTCTCCCCATGCGTTGGGTGTAAAGCATAGGAAAAATGTGTTGCAAGATGGCGTCACGCTGGAAGTACGTCACCACGCTGAGCCGTCGACACGTTGCGTCACGTGACCTCGTGACTTCATCAGGACTAGGGACACGCTCTCCTGTATCGGAATCCTCCACATTGGGTTCAGACTGTCCAGACCACATTCCGCCCTCAGAGACAGATGCTGTCAGTGCACCAGACCCTGCTCCAATCTACAAGTTTGCACAGAACTGTAAGTGTTCCCAACTGGGGGTCTTCCCACTGGGTTGTTTGTATCTTTGGGCTGTTTCTTCAGTACAAGACCTGCTCTTTATGGCATCTCAATCTCAGAACCCTCTTTTCCCATTGCTATTACATCTACTAGAACTAGAAGAATGTTCAAACTCTGTGGCTTTTTCCAAAGAGATCTATTGCCAGTTTTACCTAGACAGCCTGGTGTTGAAGCAGATTCCCTTTTTTCTGAAGATCTTTACACCTAAACTGGGAAAGAGTCCTTTCAGTTTTCTCTTCAAATATAGCCCTGATGAAAGATGAAGACCTGTCCAAACTGGACATCATCGGAGCTATTTAGATTTCTATTCTAAGGACCAGGAGCGTTAGAAGAGCTAAGAATCTCCTTGTATATGTCACAGACTCAAAAAGGGTATTCCACTTTTTCCAAAAGTGGTTTTAGCATAAATCTTTAAAACTATTCAGCTCCTAAATATCTACCTGCGGGTCTTCCTCCTCCGAATGAGATTCTCGCCCCTTCTACAAGGAATATGTTGACATTGTGGCCTTGCTTTGCCAAGGTCTCAACTGAAGGAGGTTGCAGAGTAGCCAGCTGGAGAGCACAAAATCTTTTCATACATTATAAACTAGATGTCTCTTCAGCTCCGATTCTGCGTCTGAGTATTTTTGGCTCTTCAGCATTTTCTATAGTTATTTCTAAATAAATTGTTTTTGCAGTATCCACTTCATTGCTAGATACTGTAGGCTGTCATGAGATGCTACAGGAAAACAGAAAATTGTTTACCGATACCTACCTCAATTTTCTTTTCATTTTCAGAATTTAAAGGCCTAGAGGTTTGAGGATTGTCCTGAGAGGATTGAGGGCATTCCGCCCTCGATCCTCTCAGGACAATCCTCGAAATTCTATGGTGTGACCTGCATTAGGTTGACATGAGGATGCACTAGGAAAAAAAATATAAGTTCCAGCAAACAATTTTCAGTTGCGTTGACCACACTACTTCAGTTTTGGGTGGAGCTTTTTTTGTGCCGTTATTTATCTTATAGGTAGGTGGTAGGTACATATATCTTTTTTTTGCCCACCAGTCATGATATGCCTGCATTGCAGTTAGTGTTACAGGGCACCCAGGGAGCGGGGACAAGGTACTACATGCAGTGGCATCCTGAGGCAGGTGCGGGGGGGTGCGGTCCGCACCGTGTGACACCGACAGCACGGGGTGACACCGGCCCCGCTCTACAAAAAGGTAAGTTGTAAAGCAAGCCGACAATCCCTGCAGGATGGATCGGATCCATCCTGCGGGGATCATCGGCTTTCTTTATACCTTACCTTTTCTTGGAGCAGGTCCAGTGTCACCCCATATAGGTTGCATGCCAACGATCCTGTGTGGATCGTTGGGATGCAACCTATACGGGGTGACACCGGACCAGCTCCAAGAAAAGGTAAGTTGTATAGAAAGCCGACGATCCCCGCAGAATGGATCGGATCTGCGGATTGAGCATAATGGATCAGAGTCCGATCCATCATGCTCAATCCGCAGATCCGATCCATTCTGCGGGGAACGCCGGAGGGGGTGTCACCAAGTGTTACCGCACCGGGTGACACTAACCCTAGGGACGCCTCTGACTACATGTACTTTGTTGCATCAGGAACTTGAGAAACTGGAATTCCAGCCTAACACTAACTATGATTTAAAATGTTTCCTCCTCCCTCCTGCTAGCTATCTCACCTAATGTGTAAAAAGATGTGTGTATTTACCTATGTTTAATCCATTCCAGTGCAGAATCATGATCCCACGGCTCCAACTCCCCTGTGTCAGTGAGTGGCAGCTGCAGGGGAGAGGGGGGGGAATGCAAACAACAGCTGGGAAATAGGAGCCTATAAGTGACTTCACGGTTTCCAGAATTCCCAGGCATTGTCAAGCGCTCCCTCCTCTCCCCTGCAGCTCATTGACATTGGACCACGTGAATGTACCAGAGCTGATTAAAAATAGGTAAGTATACACATCTTTTTTACAAAGGGTAGGCAGGATAAGTAGCCAAAGGGGGAAGGGAACATTTTTAAAGGGGGTTAATGTGCTCCCATGCAGGTTGATGATTTACAGCCATTTTATGGGAATGTACTAGAAAATGACTAAAGTAGTAATAACCGCTTCCATACCGGGCACTTTTACCCCCTTCCTGCCCAGGCCATTTTTCAGGTTTCAGCGCTCTCACACTTTGAATGACAATTGCACGGTCATACAACATTGTACCAAAACTAAAATTTTATCATTTTCTTCACACAACTAGAGCTTTCTTTTGGTGGTATTTAATCACCACTGGGGTTTTTATTTTTTGCTAAATTAACAAAAAAAGACAGAAAATTTTGAAAAAAAAAAACCCACGTTTGTCTTTGTTTCTGTTATAAAAGTTTGCAAATAAATAATTGTTCTTCATAAATTTAGGCCAAGATGTATTCTGCTACGT